TGGGGGTGGGTAGACGCAGAGGTGGGGTGTCTGGGGATGGGTAGACAGAGAGATGGGGTGTCTGGGGATGTGGGGGTGGGTAGACGCAGAGGTGGGGTGTCTGGGGATGGGTAGACAGAGAGATGGGGTGTCTGGGGATGTGGGGGTGGGTAGACTGCAGAGATGGGGTGTCTGGGGATGTGTAGATGCAGAGATGGGGTGTCTGGGGATGGGTAAACAGAGAGATGGGGTGTAGACAGGTATATATAGGGATAGACAGACAGACTTTCAAATGAAACGGCCTCTCCGAGAGCTGGCTCCTGACCCATTTTCCGGTCAGTCGCCGCCGGTCGCTTGCAGCGGCTCTCGGTGACTCACCTTCTCCAGTGATTTTAGGGTTTCTCCCACCTTCATCTGCAGGAAGTTCCCGATCAGCGGGAGGGGAGTGGGCCCGGGGGGCAGGTTCCTGTAGCGCGACTGCTTTCTCCAGGTGGAGATGACGAGGAGGCAGGACACGTAGATGCCCAGGAAGATGGTGATGGCTCCAGCCAGCTCCATGGTGTGTGGAGTCACTTCCCCAGTGCGGTTAGCCAGCCTGGACTGCCCTCGTATATATCTACTCCAAGTCGGGTTTGGCCCTGCCTCCTGCATTGCATAACGGCCCCGGGCAAACACTTCTCTAATCCATCAGTCACATGCCCACTAATTATCTTCTTGTTTGTCAACATTGTGAAAGCCTCTGGTGCCGGGGAGGTGTGCGTGGACAGATCTCCCCAGCCGATGCATGCTTCACCATAACCCACCAGCGGCTTCTTCCTTCCAGTCGGCAAACGACGCTTGCTTTGAACTTGGCATCTCTTGTTCCGCCCCCCTGGAAAGCGAGGCGAGGCGAGGAGGGTGCAGGGGCCGGCGCTCGGAGCTCGGGGGGTCTGAAGTATGCCAGGGCGTTCGCTCAGGCCAACAAGCAGGATGAGCTGTGCCCCGTCCTCCGCTCGCTGCAAACTCACAAAAGTCCAACTCCGCCGGGTACACAGAACTGTCCGATAACGGCCGGGGAAAGCTGAGCACAGCAAGGCCGGTGCCAAGTGGGACGCCTAGGGTAAAAGTGCAGCATGAGGGGCAGTCACGGGTTGCTGTGGCCAGGGCCAAGAGCTGGCAGAACTGGGACAAAAGCCGCTGAAATCTCTCAGGATTTGTTAGTGTGAGTGGGATGAAGCTGCTCCCTTCCCGGACACGGGGTATCCGCGGGTGGCTCGCAGGGGCAGCGTGGACGATCGGGGAGAGGAACGTGGCCAGCTGGGGGGCTCATTTAGACTCAGGCACTGTCCAGTAACAAGAAGCGGGGTTGCTATCCGGAGATCTCGGCTGGGTTAGTACCAGGGCCCGCACCCCGGGCAAAACCTCGAAACCTTCGATTAAATATACACGGCGGGGCCGGGGCGGGGTTAGAGCCTGGGAATGGCAGGTAGCGACTGAAACTTTTGTTCTAACACCGTCCGGAGTTCCCTCCCCGTGCCGCTGGCGAGAGGGAAAGGGACCCGTTCGGGGGCGACGGGACATCAGCATCCCGCCTTGCACTGAGCTCACACGCTCGGGTCACGGCTCCAGAGCTCGTCCCGCCCACCAGCAGAAGCCGGTCCAATAACAGATATCACCTCGCCTACCTTACCTGTCAATCATATTTGTAGCGCATCTATCTATCCATTGACGGTTGTTCACTATCTAGCCCCACATCCCCTTTATATCTCCATCTATCCCCACAGACACCCCTCCATCCATCCCTCCATCCCTCCCTGCCCATAGACACTCCTCCATCCATCCCCCCATCCATCCCTCCCTGCCCATAGACACCCCTCCATCCATCCATCCATCCCTCCCTGCCCATAGACACTCCTCCATCCATCCATCCATCCCTCCCTG